CCTCAGCCCGCTGACCAGTAAACCCTCCTCTGCCCACAGACCCACCCTACCGAGGCAATGCGTGAAAAGAGAGAATGGCTCCTCTGTGGAGAGATCTCTGCCCACCCCCTGCTGCTTCCTGTGGGCACAGTATTTCCAAGCTTTTCTTTTCTTTCTTAACATTAAAACAAATTCAGTAACAGACCCTGCTTGTGTCTCCTAAATGTTTGAAACCAACTTATTTGCTCATAATTGCAGGAGGAAAAAACACCCAGGGGTGACCTGGATGTTTTGAATTTTCCAAAGAGAGAGGTCTTGGAAGGCGTTGATGGGGCGGGGCAAGGGCGGGGGTCCTCAGGTGTTCAAAATGAACTGAGATGCTGTGGGTGCGTGTTTGCCCCTAGACTCGTGTACAGATGGAAGAGAAATGACTGCTTGGCATCTGGCAATGAACTAGGTCTGTGGCTTCACTACCTCCAACAAAATACCAGGGCAAAGCCCTGGTCCCCCACTTCTGCAGAAGGTATGTTGTTCTAACCAGATGGGCCACCCCAAAGATTTTGTTTTTTCAAAAACAGGAAAAGTATTGGTCCTTAGGGGCCAGGTGTCCCAAGGCCATCTGTGGCCTCTAGTATACAGAAGGAAAACCCCAGGTCTATCTCAGTCTCTTCTGCTGCCTGCCTCCCCTTCTCGGAATCATAAGGAAGATTCCCAGGTGGACATGAGGGACAGGACCAGTGCCTTCCCATGAGCATGGGTTCTCCTGGAGAGAGGACTCAGAGCTACAGAACACCAGGAGGGCCTTTCATAGTTCAGACGGGAAATTAGGTACAAGGCCAGTGACTTTCTTTCGTGTCACTAGGCGGGGTGGGAGCTGAGATAGACAAGGGGCATGGAGTCTGGCCAGCACTCCCGGAGAAGTGGCTACATGCTTCATATTGACCCACACTCAAGGCACCAGGAGGCTGGAGGGAAGTTTCGGTAAAGATGGATGGGAATTGAACCCCTTGAAGTCCTGAGCTACACTTCCAGCTCCAGAAGGCTACAGAGGAGCAAATAAAAAGATAACCTTTGTCCTCGGGCTTGAAGCAGGTCTGAACACCCAGACGAAGCTGGGGTGAGGGCTCATGGCTGGGCTGAGAGGACTCTCGGCATCTGGGACCTGAACAGAACCAGGAGGCGGGCTGCTGAGGCTTCCAGAGCCTGTGTGCGTCATAGCTCCAGCAGCCGCCAGCAGGGGCAGGGGCAGCCCCATGATGGTGAGGGAGGTGTACCTTCTTCAGTCTTCTATGTGCAGCTGACATGGGGTCTCTCCCAAAGACACAGGACCCCAGAAATCCAGGCTTCTGAGTTGACTCAAGCCCAGGTCCTGACCATTACAAACACAGATCATGGGACCCTGGGTTTCCGTTCTTCATGTTGACCCATGTCTTCAATTTCTCCATAAGTGGACCGTTGATCTCTTCTGGTGGCTGAAGCTCCCAGAACTTTCTCTTAAGATGCTAAGACCTTCTCCTGTCCTTCTGTTTCTTTTGGATACTGGAGCTGAAATCCTGCATCTTGAACCTTGAATTAGCAAGGCCTATGCTTTTCTGACTTGACGTATATTTCTCATTGGATAGAACAGCATCATTTCTGCAATGCAGATGCTTCCTCATGGGCTGTGCTGTCCTGGCAGCGCTGTGTACATGTGCATATGTGATTATACATATAACTGCATGTTTAGGTACGTACACGCACCCATGTTTGCACACATGTGTTGTGTATGTGCCCATGGCTGTGTAGTGTTCCTAATTGCCTAAAAGTTTTCATAGACACTCAGGGGAGGGAGAAAATAATCTGAGAAACAGGACCTGACACTTTTCAGTGTTTCCTTCTCAAAGAGAAGCCTATCCTCAGGAATCTTTTTTACTAGTAGTATCTCCAGGAAGTTTTATTCAGCTGCGGAGAGGGTCAAAGTGCTACTCTACAGGGACAATTGTCTTCACAGGATGGCCAGGAAATGGAAGTGATTACATGGGGGCTGTGGCCAGCTATGAAAAAGAGAAGGAGAGAGGGAGGGAAAGGGAGGAAAAGAGAGGTGTGTGTGTGTGTGTGTCTACATATCTCTGTTTGGGGGAGAATAACAGCTAGCCTAAAATCTATTTTGCCTTTCAGAAAGTCATTTCATTTAACTGGTGAATATTTGGGGTGAGTCTGTGGATTCCAGTGGGGAGGGGACTTATTCTCTACAGAGGGGTCTCAGTGTGAAATCTGGGGGTGGGAACTTCCCCAGGATTGGGGTATTATTTTGGCTCTGGACCTTCTCAAAGGTGGCATTTGCCTAAATCTCCAATCCTTCTAAACATGGGGCTATTTATCATCCTACGCATGGGATTAGGCCAGGAAGAATTCACCCTACAAGACCATGTAGAAGAGAGCCAGCCAGCAGGTAAGGAGGCACAGGTAAGTCTGACCTGGCATTAGTCAAGCAATGCAGTCAAGGGTGTGGGCATAGAGCACATGGAAGGGCACAGGGTACAGAGAAAATGACATGGAGAAAAGGGAACAGGGCATAGGGAAGGTCACAAGACACTGGACACATGGCAGAGGGCACATAGTGCAGGACAAAGGACACAGGACACAGAGCAAGGCACAGGGCACAGGGTGCAGGACAGGGTGCAGGACACAGGGCACAGGACACAGGGCACAGGGAAAGGCACAGGGCACAAGACACAGGGTAAGGCTCAGGGCACAGGATACAGGACATAGGGCAGGGCAGAGGGCAAGGCACAGGGCAGAGCATAAGATACAGGGCACAGGACACAGGGAAAGGCGCAGGACACAGGGCACAGGACACAGGGCGGAGGACACAGGGCAGAGTGCAGGGCACAGAGAAGAGCATAAGACACAGGACACAGGACAGGACACAGGACACAGAACATAGGGAAAGGCACAGGGCACAAGACACAGGGTAGGGCTCGGGGCACAGGATACAGGACACAGGGAAAGGCACAGGGCAGAGCATAAGATACAGGGCACAGGACACAGGGAAAGGCACAGGACACAAGACACAGGGTAGGGCTCGGGGCACAGGATACAGGACATAGGGAAAGGCACAGGGAAAGGCACAGGGCAGAGCATAAGATACAGGGCACAGGACACAGGGAAAGGCACAGGACACAGGGCATAAGACACAGGGTGGGACTCAGGGCTCAGTGCACAGGGCTGGGAAAGGCTGGGGACGCAGTAGCTTTGAACCAAAGGATGCAGGGGTCCAGGGATGTAAATGACTCTAACCTGGAGCGGTCCCGCCCATGGTCTGAAATGAAAAGAGAATTCCCTGCAAGGCAATCACTTCTCTTTAACCCATACATGGTAGTTTAAGTAAACGTCCCTGAAATAATTAAGAAAGAATAAAAGGTTTTTGAAGGCCAGTTTTTCTTTGAGAGGACTATACTGTGTGTGTTTTCTAAAAAGCTTACCCCACAAAGACTCAAGCCTCACTGTTCCATTTCAGCTAAGTTCCAGCATCTGTTTCCCAGGTAACAGAAACTGTATTCTCGTTGCTCTACCAGCATCTCGCAGAAACACATCCCTGCACGCAGATGCCCGCATCATGCTTCCCAGGGCTCAATGTTCTGCAGATCTGAGCTGGAGAGGGTGGGCTTGGCCAAACCCCGTGTACCTTAAATCCAGTTTCCCGTCACTCTGTCTCTTTTTTTTTCTAGAAGCGGGAAGTTTTTCTCCTATGTTCCCCTTTACCGTCATAGTTATTATTCCTATGCTCAAAATCCCTCAGTCAGAAAGTTGTCTTTTTTCCTTCTCTCAAAATTTTTGGTTTTAGTGGAAGGTCATGGAGGTCTTGGCAGCAGCATCCTGGGTCCTGGTTCTGTCTGGAACCAGCGAGTGTCTGGTGGAGCCACTGCTAGCAAATTGAGCCCAAGAGCTACGGAGACAGCTCTGGAGGAGCACAGCGGAGCAGTAAGCAGGGGTAGAGGCCTCCCTCATGGCCTCCCTGTTTCCTTTTTAAATGCAAAATATTTCTCTAGAGTCAAGAGCCTTGAACCACTTTAGACGGCTTGCAGGGCGGCACAAGAATGGGCCCTTTGTTACGTGGTCTTCACGAACGGTTTTTAAAATAAAATGGACCCTTTTTCCCCCCCAACAACATCTCACATGTAGCCCGAAGACACACAGGCAGAATGAACTGCTCTGCTGGGAGGGTTGGGAGTTGGTACCCAGAGGAAAACACAAGGCTTTGCTGGAGGACTGATATCTGCAAGGTCAAAGCTACGGAAGAGACAGAGTAGCGCTGGTCACTGTGCCCAGCAGAAGGAAACTGAGTATTGTGGGTCTGCAGTGGCAAGCCATGGAGCTAGGGAACTTGTGGGGGTTCTGAGAAGCTGAGCTCAGAACTGCAGGTTCCTCAGCCTCTGAGAAGGATGAGGCAGAAGTCAGGACTGTTCAGCTCAGTTTACTCCTAGAGAGACGGGAGGCCATGCCAATGCAGGACCATGCGCTTGGCAGCAGGTCACGCCATGATTATGACTTGTGGGCTTTGGGCATTTTTCCTGGTCTAGGAAGTAGCTCTGTGCCATTAGACTGGCCAATGTGGACTTTAGGAAGCCTTGATTGACCAGGGTTTAGGCAACTCTCCTTCCCATTGGTTCCTGTTGGCTACTCTTCCCACAATTCTTGGTATTTGTAGGGAATGAGGCCCCTGTGACTTGAGGTCCTGTCTGTTTCAGCTGCTATTTAAAACCACAGCTCTCAGTTCTCCAATGTCGCCAGTCTCAGACAAGTTTCTTCTGACCTTTGCTCTGTGGTCTTTGCTCTTGTGAAGTATTCTGGGGCAGCTAAATTCTACAGGTAGCCCAGTTGGGCAGGTGTCAAATGGCCACCCCCTACGGCAGGACAGAGCTTAGCAGGTGACCCATGATCTTAACAGAGGCTCGGCTGACCCGCCCCTTAGCAACCATCCACCTTGGTGCCTTGTCTCCAAGGACAGTTTGCAGGGACGGTGACCATCCTAGACCTACCTGTTCGTTGATCTGACACATGGTGAGGTTTTGGTCATCACAGGAACACGCTACACGGATGTACTTGAGCCAGCTGCCAGCCCCGGCCTGATTGGCATCCACGCAGAACTTCTCGCTGCCCAAGTCTTCAGAGACCTGCTGGGGAAGAAGTGCGCTAAGGTCAGAGATGCCCCGTGTGCTATGTCAGGCTGCACTGACCTCAGAGGCAGGATGGCAGGCTGGGTGAGAACTTCAGCCAGTCCTACGCATCAGAGAGGCCCTCTCTACCCATCACACCTGGTCCAGGGAGCCACCAGGAGATTGGCGGAGAAGAGGGTGGTTCTTCCTGTTCTTACACAGCTGCTCACGGTCAGGCCGGGCAATGACGAGTCTTCTGCACTGGTAAAGTGTGCCAGCAAGCTGTCCAGGTTTGAGAAAGCAGAGCCTTCTGTGTCTGACACAAACCCTCTGCAAGGACAGTGGGGGTGTTGGGCTAGAAAAAGCACTTCTGAAGGTAAAGGTGTTACCGGGGTGTGCAGCTGCACCTGAGCCTGTGTGTGTGGTATCTAAGCGTGCATGTGCGTGTGCCTGTGTAGACACGCTCCTGTCAGATAAGCACATCACCTGAATGCCAGGAAGACATTTCATGTCCTCAAAATTGGGAAGTTTCAGTTTGATGCTGGCCAGCCAGCAAACATCATGCTTCCTCCCCAGGTCCTGCACAACAGGCAGGGCCCACACTGGCTTTGCTTTGTCGTTGCTGATGCCTTCTGAACTCTCTTCAGAGTCTTGTTTGCTGAACTGTGTTCCCCCCAACTCCACCCCAACCCCTGCCCCCACCCTGAAGGGTTGCTTGCAAGAAGACCTGGACCACAGGCTGGCAGCTGCTGACACCATAGAGTTCCACTCATACCTGCTCTGTTCAGAGCCTACGGCGAGCCCTAATTCAAAGCCTTTGAAGCAACTGGGGTGGCTAAGTGGGCACACGAAAGGCAGGATGGTTAAAAGGGAGGTTGGCGGGCAGGAGTATTCTGGGGCAGGCGTTTTCAGTTGGGAAGGGGCAAAGGTGCAGCAGGAGGGGCTCTTTCAGTGGATTTTCACCACTAGGCATGCAGTTTTCAAGATCTTTGTGCACCTATGGCCGGCACTGGAATTCCGTGCACAACAATGAAACTACACGTCCTGCTTCTGTACACCCACTCCCTTGTTCCCAAGGATTCTGACACAAGTCAGACCCTGAGCACGTGGCAGATAGCTTTGTCTCCCAGTTGACACCTGTCAGTGACCCCTGGGTTCCAGACAAAGGGCGGCAGCCTGAAGGGACCCAGTAGGGAGGGAGAGTATGGAGGAAGCCCTGCAGATTCCAGGGGGTAGACTGCAGTCCTGTACAGTAACACATAGCAATGCCCCATCCCAGGGCCCCATGCGCTCCCTTGGGTGTCCAGTGGATTCTCTGGAAGCACGAGGCAGCCAGGACAGAAATGGGGCTAAGCACTGACTCCATCAGGCAGAGACTTGAGTTAAGTGGCCAAGCCATTCAACCACTTGCCCCCCATGTTCCCTCAGCCCAGAATCATCTAAGAGGCTTCAGCACTCCAGGCTGGCTGTGGATGAGGCCACAAAGCAACTATGTTCTGTGCCTGGGAAGGTGGGGATGGGGAATACCCAGAGTGCAGAGGCTGGGGTGAGCGGAGTGTACCCTTGCACAGAGCCTGCCCCCCCCCAAGCCTGGGATCTCGACTTTCCCCTCAAATCTGCAACACTAAGGTCCATACACTGTTGGCAAAGCTGGGAGCCCGACTGCACTCCTCTCTTAGTTTAGGGAGCAGGTAAGGGGGTCAGAATGCTTCCTGAGAGGCAGGACCCTCAACTCTAGAGGCATTAGGATAGAGGTTTTCCTTTCCTCTCCTCTGGGGCTCAGGGGAGGGGTGCCTAGGGAGATCTTCCCAGGTGTCTGAACCCTATCCAGGATACCAGGAGTTCACTCAAGGCCCTGCTACTCAGGGGTTAGACGAAGCCTTCCCTGCTCCTTACAAACCCTTGGAGGTCACTGCCTGCCATGTTCCAGTTCAGGGCCAACCCAACCCAAACACTACTGGGTGACCCCCACAGCCTGCAGAGGATGGAGGCAAACTGAATAGCGGCCTTATGTTGAGACCATGAGGGCTGACGTGCCTGGTGGGGGTGGTCAGGTCTCCCATTCTCTAAGATGTGGTGGGCTCAGGTCACCAAGCCCACAGAGGGAGCACCTCAGACCCTCCTCCCAACTGATAACTCTGCAGGGAACTGCTGAGGAGGTCAGCCCACAGGTGACAGGGCCTCTACCTGACAAGGAGGCTCACCCCGCTCCTGAGACATAGGAATAGAGAAAGGCTAGCTGTCGAGAGGCCAGGGGACCCCTTTCTCCCTGCCTGAGGGGTCAGGGACTTCCTGTGGATTCCTGCCACACAGACCTCTAAGCAGATGGTGCCGAATCCCAGGTCCCGTTTCTGGCTCCCTGTTCCTCCCTCTGTGTGTATCTTGCTCATTTTTCTGTCTCTCTGCTTTTTTTTTTCCCTTATGGTGCAGGGTCTGGGGGAGCTAGTTAACGGTGATGTGAATGAGCATGTCTTCATACAAGGCTCTGTCCCCAGGACTTTGCTGGGGTTTGGTTGTTGATTTCTCAGAACTGAGATCTGCTTCCCCAAAAACAATCTTTGTTCATTAGCTCACAACCACTCCAGGCTGGCTGTGGATGAGGCCGTGTTCATTATTCTGTTAAAGTGCTGGGCAGCTCAGTGAGGTCCAGCTAATCATATGGATAAATATGCATGCATACAAGGTGTGAGCATGTGTGCACATGCTTATGGCTATACACACACAGCTATGCACCCCGTGTGTGAAAACATGCACACACACACATATGTAAGTGCATGTGTGTATACACAGAATCTTTAATGTGCACACATGTGCCTGTGTGTGTGTGTGTGTGTGTGTGTGTGCATGCACACTCAGCTGGCACATTTTTGAAAAAGACAAGGTCATTCCTATGAGAAAGTGACCTAGGTAGCTGTAGTTGGTCCTAGTCTGTAACTGCCCAGGCTTCTGTCCTTCATTAGCTCCTGACCCTCTGTATGATTGCTTTCCTGGTAGTCCCTAAAGACTTGAGAAAGTTCCCTTTCCCAGTGTGATCACCTCAGAGACCAGGGAGGGAGGAGCTACTTGTCTTAGGCAGTAGAATTAGGTGGGATTCTCTAAAATCTGGAATCCACCACCCTGGCTTGGATCCTCACAGGTCCTTGGCATTGCTGCCTCTGAAGCTGGGCTTTGACGTAGTCATGGAGATGGAGCCTTAGCACCACTTCCTAGCTGAGGAGACCTCCAGTGGCCCACTGGGACTCTGACCAGCAATTGCTTGGCTCTGAGGGTTCATGGGATGCTGAGAGGAAGGCCTGGGTGTTAGGGTATCAAGTCCACAGCCACAGGCAGCTGAGCACATGTCCCTGACTGCAGTGGGAGAAGCAAGTGCCAAGGACCCGAGGCCAGAGGCAACAGCATTGGCTCAGTCTTTCCCATCTGGACTCTGCTTGCACCTACGCTCTGGCAGGAGCTGTGTGGCTCTGATAGTTCCAAGGATGTGTGAGAGCACAGGGGACAAGGGAACGAGGGCGCACGCATCAGGTTCTGTTCATACATGAGACATCAAGAGTCATATTCGAGTGTGGCGGGGTTCTCTTGGCTGGCTTTTCTGTGGCTGTGGAGCCGAACCTCTGCCCAGATTTGGAGTTGGGCCCCACCCACTTGAAAGCCTGGCTCTGGAGTTGTTGGGGTTGAGCCTGTGGACTCCCATAATTACCGGTGGAAGTGGCCCTTCTGCCCATTTGCCCCCACTTGGCCTCTCAGCCCCCGTGTTCCTGCCAGCTTCCCCAGCTCATCAATCACCCCCATCAGAAATGCTGAGTTAAAAAACGAAGAGATGGAAAAAAAAATCCTCTTACCCTTGACAATTTTTTTTGCACATCATTTGAGGTTTCCTGCACTTTTAATCTGTGGCTCTCTGCTGGGCCAGCTCTTTCCCATTTAATGGGCATGGCCAGGGGCTGGCTCCGTATGGGATGTGCACACAGGCGCGAGTGCAGAGGCGTCTGTCGTCAGCTCACCTAATGGATTCCCAGCCTGCAGGAAGGAGTGAGGCCTAGGAGTCACCTTGTTGGCCTGTGCCCTAAGGCTGCAGCGTGCTCCCCTGAAGCTCACAGTATGGTGGGTGTCTGTAGGACTGTTTCACGTGTCCTTCTAATTTCCCTCCACACCTGCATGCACACCTGGGCACACACGCTAACATGAACACATACGCACACACAGATACGTAGAGGCACACGTGTGAGCACGCACATACAATGGTTATGATTTACGACACTCACAAGGAGCCCAAACAGAAAGTCCATTCTTGTGACAGAAAGAGGAGGGCAGGCCTTCTGGAGACACCTCCATGTGGCGGACATGGAGCCTGAATGAGCTCATAAATCCTGTCCCGATGCTCATTATGGGCTTGGTGGTGACATGACCAAGTGCTAAGCAGAAACACGGCAGCAGGATGGGGTCTGCTGCTGCCAGCAGACAGGAGCCTCGCTAAGGAGATCAGGAGGTCAGGGGCCCATCTGTTCCAGGTGAGAGGGAGGGAGCTGAGGAATAGGAGGGAAAGAGAGTTTTCTGGGACTCACTCCTGAAATAAGTTGTCTGGGACTTTCTATGTCCCTCTGGCCCTGGCCTCCACTGGACAGTTGCTGGGTAGTAGTGTATGATAGATAGAGTTACAGGGTCCTGGACAGACCCCAGAGCATGGCTCAGGGTTGGGGGGCTGCCAAAAGAGAGCTGTTGTCTGACCAGGGACTCTACTAACAGGTGCTGGTGACGTCCCGTTCCACACCTGGAGAATTTGGCTCCTATGTCAGTCACAGGCAGATGCTCTTGGTTTAAAGCCACACCAAGAAATGTGTATCGTAAAAAGTCACCGAATCCCATATTTTCCAGCATTTGGGCCCCACGCAGGCCTTTGAAGATCTGAAGAAAACCACACACCAGAAGTTACTCAGACATGCAAATGCCTTGTGAACACTCTGAGGTTCCCGGCAATCTTGCACCCAATTCTCAGACTCGGAGACTTCAGACTGTGTGCAAACATCCCAGACACATAGCTGATCTCCCCCATGTCCTCTGCCATCTTGTGAAACAGAGCCCCAGGGTACATGCCTTGTGCATCCAGCCCAATGCTCACCTCTTCTTTATGCTGTCTGCCCCTGAATCTCTGTGCCTTCCAGCCCTTCTATGCTAAACTAACTTAACCTCTTCTCTTTCCTTCTTTGCTCTTTTTGGCTCAGGTTTTACCTGTCAGGGAAATGACCCTCCTGGGCCAGCATCTGTGAACTTTGCCTGAAGGAAGA